GTGAACTAACCTTGCCCTTCAAACTTGACTAATCTTAACCTATAAATTATTCACTAGTTTTAACCTATAAATTATAAACTAATCTTAAGCTATAAAACTAAAGATTAACTTTAACCAACAAATCAGACTAAAAGTTTGTAGGTTGCGAAATTAAGAGTGAACCCGTAACAATTAAAGAGGAATACGTGAACAATTAATTAACGTCCACATTTCGTCCTTGTTAAAAATAGTTTCCCGAGTATTAAAGGAAAAGGTGAATCCTCGTGTGCGTTCAGGTACGAGACACTTCCTCATAAAATATTTCCGTGTCGAGTCGTAATGCGTTTCTAAATTCAGTCGAGACGGGGGCGCTGCATGTTATGCCGAGTTTACGCTACCGGCGAATACTGCGAAGTTTTTCGTCCCTTGGAAAGAGACTTCACAGCAACCCAACCGGGGATTTCGAAATTACGGTGGACTCTAATTTAACGAGATTCTTTGTGCTGAACTGGTGCACGAAAATACACAGAACCCATTGCCTTTTAATAGGTGCAAGTGTGAAAAGCAGTGAGTTAAATGGAAATTTTGCCGCGTCTACATACACACCACGCGGATATAAAACTTCGTTAAAACAAGAACTAAAACGCTCGTTTTCTAATAATTTTATGAAAAGGACATTATTTTCAGGGAATTATTTGCAATAAGCAACCACTTTATGTTCAACCTTTGATGTCGTAATAGCTTTGAAAGTTTTAAAAAATGGTTAGGTGTTATGTATAATGTGTGTATAAAGTATTGTTACAAGTACCATGAACACATGTTACTGTGTATAGGTATAAAGTATACAAAAATTCAATTATATTTATAGTTACAGTTTTATGCAATATATTGGAAGGATAGTTTTCAATATTATATCACTGTGAAATGTTACAGTTATAAAAATTAAAATTACTTGATGTTTTATTTGGACTTTGAACCACCATAAGTGGTTCTGAATATACAACTTTTTATTAATAATTCATAGAACGATAATTTTTTATTTATTGTTATTACTGTAAGCGTTTATATTAAAACATAATATGTAATCCTAAAATATATTATTCTAAATTTTGACATATTTTACGTACATATTACTATTATATAATATCAAGTAACATTGTTTATTAATGAAATGAGGTTATTTATTGTAAGTACAGAATCAATACACAAAATATTTTATTAATATGCAGAACAAAATTAATATACAGAATTACATAGAAAATATACAATATTTAATGAGCGAATGTTATACAGTTGCAAGACAGCAGAAACTTCTGAAATGGAATTAAAACGCGCTTAATCAACGTCAATAGTAACAATGGACGTTTCAGGTAACCGATACATTTGCAATGGCGGAAATTCGACGTTATTCCGCAGCTGCGGTTGGCTGCTTTTTCTCAGCGAACGTTGATGGTCGTTTTCACTGAAAAATGAGTGCTTCTTGCAGCGTACGGTTGTTTGTCGAATTGCACACCATAAATTAAGCCCAACAGCAGCGGCGTGCCGGAAGAAAAAAATACATTCGAACGAAGAAACACTACCGGTAAAACCGTAGAGGTGCTCAACAAAGAAATGCATTACCCGAAACAATAGAGAATGTATGACCTACTGAATTTTCACTCGAACGTTTAGTATAAGTAGCCTCGTGTGAATAAACTTGTCAATATTGTATCCATTTTTTAATAATATTTAGCTCGTCTACAGCGGAATTTAAATTGGAATTTAATCTGTTCGGAGTTTATTAAATCCTGCAGGAAATCGAGGATTAATTAAATTTATATATAACTCGATTTTAAGCCGTATTATATGTTCTGTTCCATGTACTCGGATTTATTATACGGAGAGTCATTAAGTGATGTTGATGAAATAATTTGGATTTCACTGAAAATATTATAATTAGAAGGCGGCATGGTACTTGCCTAATTTCGAAGTTTATTTCTGTACACAGGATCTAGATTTGCGTCATTATTATTACTCATAGCAAACAATGTTTCAAATGAAGTTGAATGGTTTTAAGACGGCCATATGCTGGTGGTATATTTTTTTTGTAGGTGGACGTGTAAAGGACATATGAAGGTCATTAATGTTATTTTAAATAGAATCATATATTTTTGATTGCGTCAGCTGATACTCCTTCATATTCTTTACAAAAAAGTATTAATCTATTTATGTGAAAAAATCATTAGTTTAGGAGATATTTTAATTCTAACTTGTTAGGAAATCGTGACTTTCTGGTCACTGTTTTAATTTGGTTTATGCAAAACTCTTATCTATTAATTAACAAAAATCTTTAACACTTTTAAAACCTGTAACACTAACAATAACTTTTAAAGAAACTTTACTTAAACACTATTTAAAAAACTCAAAACATTTATAACGACTTTTACGACTTTCTTCCGTCTAATCTCTAAACGCCCTCCTTCTGCTGAAGTCTCCAATCAACACTCTTTTATTCCGCTTGCCTTTTCAAAGAAGAACGAATGAACGCCCGCTCGCTCTTACAAAGTCTTGCAACGTCGGTAACTCTTACACAAATGATAAATAATTTAATAACATTCATTACCGACGTTCGGTCACTGTCAGCTGTTTTGTCATTTTCTCATTCCCACACTTGGATATTTCAAAACTTTCACGTCACCAAAGATCTAAATTTGTAACTATGAAAAATGACTAAGATTTGATAATTTGATATCTGAATACTTTTCAGATCTGAACTCCAAAATCTCCCAACTGAAGTTTCTGTATTTTTATACGTCAGATTTATTCCAGCTATGAAAAGTAGTGTCAGAACCTTCAAAAGGATCGATGGCTTCCGTATACCTTAATTGAAAAAGATCAATTACCACAGAAATAGTAATCGTACGCATTGGAGAAGGTAATGCGAAATGGTTCCTTTTACAGGCCGAAAATTCGGTTCGGTAACGTATACAACGTTCAATAATTGCTTTCGACTTGTTCGGTATAACAAGGTGGTTCGCAAACTATTCGGCCAAAATGTTCGTAGTCGTCGCGAAAATGGGACGCAGTCGTTCTCAAATTGATAACGTGCACGCGCACATCGGTACACCCTGCTCCTGCGAGCTCCTATATTTGTCATCCTGGACAATCCAGTCGGTTTATCCTCTGGTAGCCGATTTTCTCTGCATTCTGCGCCATCCTGGCGCATTTAACGGGCAAGAATGCACGCGTGACAGAAATGCCGTGGCGTCGCCCGAGGCGGTCCAAGTATAAACCCACGAGCACACATAAATGCGAGGAACGGAAGGAGACGATGAACAGGCTGGCAGACCTGTTCAAGAATAGACTCCAACGCTGTTTAATGAAACTGCTATTTAAACTAGCCTCTCACTGAAATATTGTTTTCTTCAATTACGTTTCATTAGGGAATCAATTTTAGATGCTTCACATTCAGTTTTTGCTTTCATATCACGCTCGCATTGTTCCAAAATATAACTTCCTATTGATACGAGTCGTTTATTTTCTTCGTATTCAGACACTCTAGCAGCCTTCTTTCATTTTTCGGGGGTCGTATTTTTGTTACTTAGCGTTACTAAAACAGAAGCTAAATTGCACCGTATTCGGCTGAAAATAGTTTTGCGCCACTTTCATAATGAACATTTTTCCAATAACGTTAATTAACTAGCGTTCAAATGTTAGTTTATTTAAATTCTAACTTTAAAATAAAATTATTCACTGTAGATTGCAGGTATTTGCAAAATGACTTTAACAAGTTAGAAATATAGAAATTTAAAAATATTATGAATTTTAAGAGTTTGGAATTCAAGGTTAAGAAAGTTGAGAAGAATGTTTTAACATATTTTTATTATTCATGTAATGTTATACATTCAATGAAAAATTTGTGTTTTGTTCTACGCTAAAACATAGAGCAGTTCTACTGCAAGCTAAGAAAAGGTTATCTTAAAAGCAGTGAACAGCAAATGGTTCCAGCGCCGCCATTTTCCCATATAATTCCAGAATGTGCAATAAAACTCTTAAAACGTATTATTTATTTATTTCTTTCACTGTAAAACATCGAATACTTGAAATAATCTTTGGACAAATGTTTCAAATAAAACTAAAATAACTTTTTTTTAATATAAATGTATTTATAGACCTTTTCATGAAAATTAACATAAATAAAAATAAATAACTTCGAATGAAATTTTTCAAACACTACGTAAGTCATTTTTACTCAAAACATTAGAAATACTAGAATTAAAAATTTCATCCCAAATTCTGAAGAGTACAATTTTAATTCAATATGAACAAATTGATTCCAGAAAGTAATTCGTTTTGGTTTCACATAACTTTATTTCGTCCGAAAAGATAGAAGATTTTTAACATTTCCAACTCTGTAGTCGTCTAAGTTTTAACCCTTAATGGTCACACTGGGTATATAACGACCCCAGCCAATTTACCTTCATTTTTATCCACTTTATGTCCTGAAAATTTGAATACCTTTTTTGAAAGAGCCGTACTGTTATTTCACCTAAAATTTTAGCTCTTTTTATTAAAATCCACAAAAAGTTTTCTGTGAAAAACATTTTTCCAATTTTTGTACATTTCTGAATTTTTTCATATTCATCTAAATTTACTGAAATGAAGTGTAAAGTGTATTGAAACTTTCAAAGGTTGTTTCACGTTGAAATGAGTAGCTTTGTAAGAATTTTTACTGGGTCTTAAACGTACCAGAATAGTATGTTATTTAGTACAAGTATGTTATAAGTACGTTACAAAGTGTGACCATTAACTTGAATATACAAACGTTAATATTCAAAGGTTCACTTGTATAAAGCTTGAAACCCCATTTTTTTCAAAGGTAGTTGTTCAGAATTACGTTCCCGACAACCCCATTCCTGGACACTACTTGTGAGACACCTAGTAGATCTCCATACGGGCGTTTCGCTCGACTGCCACCGATATAAAACTACACCTTATCCATTTTAATTCGTCCGATAATTTCCGGTTTATGGTTGTTGCAGGAGAGCATCCAGCGGCGATGCAACACGGGAACTCGAGCAACAGCGGTGCAGCTACGAGGACTCTGGCGTTGCTCCTGTTGCTTCTGCACGCCGGTTCGTTCGCGAGGTGACTGGTCGATCACGAATCCTTGCAATAAAACCGAGAGCAAACGTCGTTTCTCCTTTACATAACCGAACAGAGGCGGAGGAGTGTTTGTGGATGAGCAAGGAAAAGACGAAGAAGATTGCGAAAGGAAACTGCGTCTCTATCAGCGTCGACGACCTCGTGGCCCCTATACATACATCATCCTCCATCTTGCTCTCAGCAAAGTGATCATCAAAGAGACTCCTAAGGAAGAAAACTCGAGTATCTCGAGACTGATTGCATCCGTGGGCTCTGCTCGCACTTTCTGCTGTTCATCGATATCTTCGTAATTCTAGCCATTGAATCGCCTCCAACTCGAGTTTAGTAAATCTACACTGTGTCCTAATAGCGATCGAGGCTCCGGAGGCGATCCACAAGTGACAAAACTGTTCTCCGGCGATGTATATTCTTCGTTCGAGGTGTGTCTGTACAGACTGGCTACCGTGATTTTTGTTTTCGTTCCAAGGACGGTCGAAGGAACTCTTGTGAAGAGAACTCGACGACATGTAAATGGGTGTTTAGTATGATACAAGTTGGACTCGATGCGATCCAACCGGGACGCTTAGCGTCCATGATAATGAGGATCTGTGCAGCTGGTACTCGCGATCAAACGGGCGCCAGTCTCTTGCCAAGTTGGACTAACGCCATGTTTCTGGGTAACGTTTCTTGCTGGATGTTTTGCGAAACGAGACGGAGCTAAATGGCACTTTAAGGAACACGACGGACAGTGTCGAGGAGCTGTTTAGGTGAACGATACACCGAAAGACTGCTGATTTATCTTGCCTTTCTACGGTTATTGATTTCCTTCTCAGACCAAGTATTTGCTTTCGAGATAAACTTGCCTAATACACTTCTATGACATCACACTTTATTTTTACTTATAACTCTGTCGCTTTTATTTCGTTACTTGCAGTTTATTTTACGGTGAGAGGTATGTTACTTTTTTGATGTGTACATATTTGCATTTTTGGACGATTGTTTAATGGATACAAATTTAGTTCGTTCTCGCTGACAGGTGTAAATGATAAATATGTAGTTTATGCAAATGAAAATCATCGTTCCATTTTTACCTTCGCTTCAAAAATGTAACATCGCTGTCCAAACGTATCACAATTACTGTATCCCAATATTTTAATACCACTAACGTCGATCAAAATTAAAAATCCGCCATTTGATATGCAGCAATCTATCAAAACTCGAACAGGAGAAACAACATCAGAATTGTGATTAAAACTGCAATTTATCAGGTGACATCGGTAACTTAGCTTATAAAATGTTGGTCAGCAGGAGATTGACGGCGTTGATCAGCGACCGGCATGAATTTTGAAGCGTCAATTACCTGGATGATATAACGCCAGCCGGTATTGCCATTTAAATCACGCGACCGACAAGCAGCTTGTTGAAGAAAAAGTTATTTCTGGTTAACAACGAGTAGCGGGGAATTTAAATCTTCGGCGGTGAGGCGTTGTTGCGATAAAGGCAGTCTTTCATGAGAGCTACTTGTTCCGTGACAATTCCACATGCAGCCGCAATAATTTTCGCGATCAAACGGCACGCTGCACCACCCCGGTTAATAGTATCGTCTGACAGTGACAAACGAGCAACCTACGAAAGGACCAGAGAAATTAATAGGTGTTGGTTTACTGGTTTCTCTTCGTTGGTTCAGCGAGCTTTGTGCTACAGACAATGTACTTTTTCCGGAAATCAATTTGACGTTTAAGAAAATCCGCAACGATGCGCGTAACGGTGTTTACTTTACCGAACTGCAAAAATCGTGGAAAGCACGAAAGGTAAAAAGTTAATGTTCCTCTTTCGATTGTGTCCGTTTCAATTTACATATCTTGCAATTTCTTCATTATTTAACTATTTGCATTTTCAAAAAATAGGTCCTTTATTAACAAACTTCTATAGTACCAGATTTGTCACAGAAACTATACATATTTACAAATTTCTATATTTCAAAATATATGTACTTTTGGGCGCCATGTTTGGAATTTTCTATATTCCCTTAATTGACATATTTCTATTTTCTCAAATTAAAATATCCCTAGATAGGATTCAATTCCATCATACTGGCATTCTAATGTTTTTACGTGGTCTTAGATTCTAATATTTCTAAATTCTGATATCACTATAAAATGATGTCTCTACAACACGATGTCCCTATATCACGATATTCCTATATTCCAATATCCATATAACTTGATATTCCTACATACGAATATCCCTACATTTCGAAACACCTATATTCTAATATACCTATATCCCGGTGTACCTATGTCATAATATTTCTATGTCCCGGCATCTCTACATCATGATATTCCTGTATTCCAGCATCTTTGTATACCTCTGTCCACATAACCTTATACTCCTATAATCCGATATTTCTATAATCCGACATCCCTACGACTCTGACATTCCTACGTTACTGATACGTCTATGTCTCCAATATCCCTACGTCCATATTTCTACGTTCCTGATATATCTATGTCCGAATCTCCTTACATCTTAATATTCCTACGTTGGGACATCCCTACATCTTTAGGTCCCCCATATTCTTATGTCCCAACCACCTTACATTTAAATATTCCTGGAGCCTGACATATTTACATCCCAATCGCTCTACTTCCCTGATATTCTTACATCCTAATCTCCTTACATCTCAATGTTTGCACGTCTCCTATATCACTGCGACCCGGATGATATTCCTATTTTCCCTATATTCCTACGTTCTGATATCCTTATGATCACAATATCGCTGCGTCATCTATATTTCTGGGACCCCAATGTCTCTATGTCCCAATATCCTTATGACCCGGAAATTCATACGTCCAATATCCCTACGTCCCCTTCACTCTGGGACCCCAATGTCCCTATGTCCTAATATTCTTACGACCCCGAAATCCATACGTCCTGATATCCTTACGTCCCAATCTTCCTATATCCCAATATCTCTACGTTCCTTATATCTCTGCGTCCCCGATATCTCTACGTCCCTATCTCCCTATTTCCCAATCTCCCTATGTCCCAAACGCCCTATGTCTCAATTTCCCTATATCCCAATTCCCCTATGTCTCAATGTCCCTATGTCCCAATCTCCCTATGTCTCAATCTCCCAACGTCCCAATCTCACTGTGTTCCAATCTTCCATGTCCCAATCTCCTTATGTCAAAATCTCCCTATGTCTCAATCTCCCTAGATCCCAATTCCCCTATGTCTCAATCTCCCTACGTCCCAATCGCCCTATGTCTCAATCTCCCTATATCCCAATCACCCTATGTTCCAATCTCCCTACGTCCCAATCTCCCTACGTCCCAATCTCCCTACGTCCCAATCTCCCTATGTC